AGCCAAAACTAACATTTCTAAATAATTCAATGGCAAAATGTACACTGCAAATCAAAATACTGTAGATGGCAAGATTTCATACATTCAACAAACAGCATCTAAGCTAAGCATTAGTGAGGACAAGGAATCAGTTCCATAAAGATATGAAAAATATTAATTTTGTTTACATTGCACTTAACCATGCAGGTATGCACTGTATGTATACATACATGTTTAGTAGAATAACACTGTAGGTATGATAATATACTATTATAGTTAGCCTTGAAAGTATTTATGATATAACATTGGGTTCAATTAATTTTCTGATAGATCAATGTAAGTTAAATAGGATTCACCATTCTCTTACATATTGTTATGATAGCCTTTACATTGCCCTCTTTGAACAGTAAAATTTAAACCTAGTTTCTGTACACAAGCCATTTTCTCATGCTCAGTATCATTCACCAAATTTAGGTTTTCATTTAGATGAAAGGCGGGATTTATAATTTAGCATGCTTTGTTTTAAAAACAGTAATTATTTAAAAAAAGTGTTGTTTCGTTCCTTTCAGGTGCAAACCTAGTAAGAATTTCACATTCCCATTTTTGTTATCCTATCCAAATGATGCTTGAAATTCTCTTGGATCAACTTAATGTGAACAAGAGCAAGATGTTGTTATGATACATGAAATGTTATTTATAGGATTTGAAAAACTATAATAGGAATTCAACCAAAGGTTTTGTTAAACCTGGTTAATATGCATCAGCCTGGTTCAGTTGGTAGCAATCTCACCTTTGAGTCAGAAGGTCATGCATTCAAGTCTGAGTACTAGGCTGATACTCCAACACAGTTTTCAGGGAGTGCAGCATGGTTTGGAGGTGCCATCCTTCAGATGAGACGTCAAAAACAAAGGTCCCATATGCCTGTTTGGATTCCCGTGGAGCAATTTGTAAAGAGAAGGGAGTTTCTCCCAGTGTCCTGGCCAGGAATCGCCAAGAAATTGGTCATTCATTTCATGACCATTTGTGTTCCATTGCTGTGTGAAAATTGGCTGCCGTGTTCACCTACACATACAGTCACTACAAGCACAAGGCGAGGTGTGTGCACAATGCCAGCCATGAGCGAACCGTGCGGAAGGGAAACAGCTGGTAGGAAACCACTGTCAGTTTGTTGCTTGCCGTTTATTTCAGACCATGCAAATTTTGAAATTTATAATTCGCCGTTTTGCAAAAGTCCAATGATTACAAAATGGAATATCGCATTTTAGACGCTTTACAAAAAAGCCAACAACAATTTCTGTGGTCGGCATCTAATGAAAACAGGATCTCCAAATAACCTGTTCCAATTACCGGCCTTAATCTCACTGATATATACTTTACTCTCACGGGACTTCATCCCCATACTCCATTATGGCATCAAGAAGCATCCAGGTTAAATCAATTTGTCTCATACTAGTCAAGACAACCCATCATTTACTGTAATTCACCCCGTCACGGTACATGACAGGTAAGGTTAAAAGCCAAGAATTGAATGGAGACCTTTCACGTCTGTCTCTCTATTTAGTGGTTTCCTAAAAACCAGCTTGAGCAATGGATAAAATGAGATGAAAGAAACAAAACCTAAAAGGAATCGTTTAAAGAATTTATACACAAACATGTGCTTTTCCTCTGTAACATGGCAATAATTAATTGTTGGAATACTGACAAATGAACAACCTCATGGGTTTCACATATTTATTAAGGTGTTTTTAATTCCGTATAATTTTCATTTTCCCCCTTAAGACGTTTGCTACCAGGTGCCGTGCTTCAACTGGGGTTGACAGATAAGCAAAGATATTGGCATTTTCCCGTTTTTCCCTCTAGATCACTTATTCTCAGACAGTAGGAAATGCTTACAGTGGGATGAGCTGGCTGTCAACTTTCCTGTCTGAGATAAAGGGCACATCATAATATTGGTAATGCTGTTTCATGTAGCCTCAAACTCATGTCTGCCACACGTCCCTCACTTCTCTTTGCCACCATTCATTGGCTGAGCTTTCAGCTATCAGGCTGCCATCCTCTTAAAACTACCTCTCAAAATCTCTTCAACTAGTATCTCCAGTGAGTACCTTCTCAACCCATTTTCCAACTCCTTCTAAAATCCTACATCTTTAACCGTGTTTTCGGTCATGTTCTTCCTTATAACCCAGAAGTGCTGGTCAGTGGGGCCTCTCTTGAGTGTGTCCTGTTATTAATGATGGCATTCTGCGGACCCCAACAACTGCCTTATAATGTCTTAGCCCTTATACTTTCTTATGCTAAACAGCATTTAATAATCCTTGCATTTGATATAGTGCCTTATTATGTCTTTGAGAATATGCTGTAAAGTAAATTTGACTGTATATTTCGGGGCGAAATGCAGCAGCCAGTTGTGCACAGCAGTGTTCCACAAACAGCCGGGGATTGAGTGATCAAATTACAATTCATTTTTTTGAAGGAATTATAATAATAATAATCCTTGTATTTGATATAGCGCTTTTCACGTCTTCTAGATGTCCCAAAGCGCTTCACAGAATATATTGTAAAGTGAATTGACTGTATATTTGTGGGCGAACGCGGCAGCCAATTGCGCACACCAATGTCCCACAAACAGTCATGGATTGAAAATGACCAATGTATTTTTGTTTTTTTGTTTTGAAGGGATTATTATTAGGCGTGTGGAGTAAGGAAAACTGCCCAACGTTTCGACCTGCCGGGAATCAAACCCAGGTATCTCGCTTGCAAGGCGAGTACTCTAACCACTGAGCTACAGGATTCCTCACGCATCTCCTTGAAGTTCAATAAGAACCAGAATAATAGCTCTTTAATCAGCTACAGAACAGTCCTGTTAGAACATGCCTAGCTTAAGGGCAAGTTCTCTAGAGCGCAGGTCAAATTGTGGATCACTTGCCTTCCCATGCTAAAAATGGACAACATCTAGGTCCTCAGGTGATCACTGAAGGATTAGGAGAAACTTGTTGAGAGAGAAAATATAGCTGATACTCTTAGTTTCTCATAACAGTAAGACAGAGGAAGTCAGTCTCCTTTTATCTATTGGAAGCAATTCAAATCAGTCAGAAATGGATTAAATGTTTGCCAAATCTAGATTTCATTCTGAATTCAAATATTCATATTAGTTTAACTGCATAAGTGGGGTGGCATTTAAATTCAAATCTCCGATGAATGCATGGTGGCAGATTAAATTTCTTGAAAGATCATTGGCCAAAATTACACATTCAGCAATGAGCTTCTCACCTGAGACTCTGAGGTTAAAGGCAGTGAGAGAAGGAGAAGCTACACAGAAACCCACAAATAAAGTGCTTCCCTTTTAATGGGGATTACAGTAAGAACAAATGAGCCTGTGGTAATTGAAGTCTCTCGAGGATAAATCCCAACTTGGACAAAAGTTAAATTATGCGATGAGCACTTAAGGGCTTTACATGAGGCTGATGCTTTTTTGTTGACGTGTGTCAGTCATGTGAAGAAGGTTAACTGGCTAACAAAATTCTAATAATTACACTAAAACAGACTAACTTCTTAAGTCCAGGCTAATGTTCTCAGCTGCCACCTATAAGCACTGTAGGCAAAAGTGCTGAACTAAGGTGTAAACTAACATCTTCTTGGCCTGGCGAGTATTAGAACTACAAAACCAACTCCTTGGAATGAGCTGAGTGATTACACTAGTATTCCCTAAAGAAACTTATCGGCTCAGTAGTCCACATCCCAGGACTCAAACATAATGAAGATGACAGACCTGCTGGGACCAGACAATTTAAACACATTAAAAAATAATCACATACAGAAATTTAAATGAGTGGAATCTGTGACTTCTTAGATCAGTGAATACGACTTGAGTGAAATATATTTGAGGGGTTTCATTGTACATCATGAATGCATAGTGACAAAGATGCAAGGCAGCCAGGATTATTCACATGAATCACATTGACTCTCACATATCTTAAGAAATTCTCACTATCATGCAGAGTCAGAGATTTCCCACTATACACAGTATGAGGATCTAATATGCAGCCATTTCAAATGAGATTATTTATTTAAGAAATCTGTAAATATGTCATGTCCCCTTGCGAGAACCTCGCTTCAGCACATTCTATTTTTGGAATGGTGTTACTTCCAAATGCTGGAAATATTCCTTAGATAAGGAATCCCATTCGAAATTGGTGCATATTAGATACTATTGATGTTAGTAATACTTACATTTGATATAGTATCTTTTACAGAGGATGTCTCAGTGCGCTTCATAGTAAACACTGCAGAGTGGAGTGACTATGTTGTTTTGTGGGCAAACACTATCATCCTCTACACAGAACAAAGAGGATCTGTTCTGAGGTTTGATTATAAATAGGACGTAAAGCTGAGTCTTGCGCTTTGATGTGGCCTTTCCATACCAGAGGTCAGTGTCACCATCCATAGTAGCAGTGCATGCTGCTTAAGGTGATGTACATCCCAGATAAAACTAATTAGCTAGTGACAGCAATGTCTGTCAAGTATGCTAGTTATAGATCCTAACCGCCCCATAACCAGTGCCAGTGGAGACTTTTATTGTGTTTTGTCCATTAATGTTCTTAAACATGGCATCGATGTAACTGACGCCATTTAGTTTTTTTTCCCCCAAACTAGAGAACAAAATTTCTACCTTTTTTTAATCTCGTTCACAATTCCCGTATCCTACTCCACAGCTAGGAGAGAGAAAGCGTTTTGATCTGCTCTCAGGGCTCTATTGGACATGAGCAGCTGGCATGATCAACCTTGGATGACTCACTCATCAATTTTTCTTCCCTCTACTAAGGAAGTGTTTATCTCCACTCAATGGGTCCCCAATGACGTGAAAGTAAATTGCAGGCACAAACTAACAACCAACTGCTCCACTGCACAGCTATTCGAGCGACAATGCAATATATTGTAACATGCCAGTAACCAACAGTAGTTTTAGACCTGTGTGGTAGCAGTCACCTTGAAATGTACTGTAATTCATACAGGACACTTACATACACTGGACCAGTTGTCTTGTTCCTTCCCCCAGGCATTCCATCTTCACGAATTGCTGAAAAATAAAGCAATCAATTTCATAAATCCTTGCATCCTCGCATTGCATTTGATATAGCACCTTATCATGTCTTCGAGACGTCTCAAAGCGCTTCACAGAATATACTGTAAAGTGAATTTGACTGTATATTTTGGGGCGAAACGTGGCAGCCAATTGCACATGGCAGTGTCCTACAATCAGTCGTGGATTGAATGACCAATTTATTAATATTATTGTTTTTTGAAGGAATTATTACCCCCAGAAAAGCGATCCGCCAACCGACTAACCGAGTTCCTACTTACTGCTAGTTAAACAGAGGTGTGTAGAATTAGGAAACAAAGTTTTGCCCTGCCGGGAATCAAACCCAGGTCTCTTGCTTGCGAGGTGAATGCTCTAAACACTGAGCTACAGGACTCCATGTTGCATGCAACAAAAAAGGTACAAAACAATTCTGAGAGAAAATCTCCCACAATATAACTGATGAGAATTCTTATGGAGACAAGTACAAATGGGGAAACCAGGACAAACTTCTGACAACATCACTAATTAATTCTTGCTTGCTTCCAGAGCCACCCCCACCCCCCACCCTGCCACCCACTAATCCCATAAACCATGATGTTTCTTTAGAATATGAATTCAACTTCAATATGGTTCTCAGTCAGATACTTAACCAGTCCTTTTCGAAGGGGCTTGGCAGCTACTTTTGAGAGGAGTCTGTTCTACATGACCATTGTTCTGTAAAGTTGAAGCCTCATCACAAATTCACCCTCAGTCATGTTTAGGTAATTGGATCTCACATTGAAAACTCCAATCCCCAGTGAGTGTCTGGAAGCCCTCTCCCTTCTACAGTCTTTCCTGGTCTCTCATTAGCAAATAGCTGTGCTCTCTCTCTCTCTTAGTCTCTTAGTCACACAGCTCCTTTGCCCATCTGAGGCAACGCCAGCTCAGAGCTGGTGTTTTATAATTGTACAATTGATGCCAGATGTAGAGCAGGCAATAACACGTGAAACCTACTCCTCGGGCATAACAGACAGTTAATTGCCTTAATTGGCTGGGGGCAGGGACTCCATGTTGCTACATAGCTGAAACCACTGTTTAATACCTATCTCTTATTTTTCAGTATTATTTCTGCCCATGAAAATTATTCCAAATTAGCACCAATTTAGAATTCTCTCCTTAATCTTTTTCGTTCCTTCATAATCATTCTCTATTTCTTTGTGTGGAAGGCTCCATGAGATATGTTCGGATGAAGCTGATGTGCTACCAACAGCAGGAAAAAATAGTTTCCTTAAAAAGGCGAGATCTTTCCCATGAACACTGCATTGTAATACTGTAGTTCATAACAGCAATTTGCTGCTGGACTAACTTTTCTGGCAGACAGTACAGAGGCTGTGCAAACAAGAGCTTGCAGAACAGGCCATACCAGGACATTACTTACTAACCACTAATAACAGGGAACTAGGAATGCTGGAAATCTGAAATGAAAACAGAAACGGCCTGGAATCAAAAGCAGTTCGATCAGCAGCTGACGGGGAAACATAGGTTAAAGTTTCAGGTGTGACCCTTCTTCAGAACTCTTTGAGCATTAACCTACCTGGATCTTTCAGTTGCTCTGTTTGACTTGTTGTAGATTCCTATGCATTTCTGTTGCTTAAAAACTTCACAGAAAAATGCTGAAGTCTCTTTTTTTTTCGGACTACTTGGAGCTTTTAATGATTGAATGCAAGAGCAATTGCAAGACTTTCTTTGGGTGCAGTCATATTCACCGTAAATCCGAACACAACTTTCAGTAAAAACTATGTTTCAAATACTGCTACAATGCATCAAGACCTGGTTATGATAAATCTGAAAGCGTTAACCTACATGTAGCAAAACCAAGCACGGAATGCGAATAACAGTGAAAAATAGCAAGTTAATATTAATAAGAGAGTGCACTGATACCAGATGCACTGTAGCTATTAGCCCGATTGCAATTTAGGCCTGTATAGGTACTTTCACCAATGTGTTTTATAATTGAAACATTGGCACCTTAGTGTGATGCACAGTGCTCTGCCACTCAGAGGGAAATGTCACTTAAAATTAATAGTTGGTGTATCATTTTTGTAGCTATGCTTCATCAAATAGAATGTGAAGGCAGCACATGGAGGTAAGCTGCACTGCAAATTGAACTGATGGTAACTGTGTGGCATAACTGACGTCAAGTAAATCCTTCAGATAGTAGCAGATGAACCATTTTCCACCGCACGATCACTTCTAAGTAGCTTGTGTAGCAGGGGCTCAGTGAATGTTGATCTTGGACTGCTGGATACCTTGAATGGGCTGAAAAACAGGCCCCTGAATTATATTGCTGCCCCTTTAATCACAATTTTCACCCACAAAATATACAGTCAATCCACTTTATGATATATCCTGTGAAGTGCTTTGAGACGTCTCGAAGACATGATAAGGTGCTGAATCAAATGCAAGGATTATTATTATTATTTATTATAATTGCTCTCTGACCTAAGAACCGACCAAAAATACCACACCAATTGTCTGATATAATGAAGAGCCAGGAAGCATAATGATGTTAAGTGAGTGTTTCAACCACAATAATGTGGTTGATTGTGTCACTGTGTTTTTACAGACGAATGTATGAAAAATATGTTATTAGTAAGGCATGAAGTAAATGGTTGCATATTAGTATATTCTGCTCAGTTTTATTCACACCACCACTTATTTTACTGCTGCATGAAATGCACCGAATTATCTTTTGTAGTTGTGGTCTGGTTCTTCCACATATTACATTCTAATGGAATCTGACAGCATGACAGTATTGGCTCACTGCCTCTGGGTGGCAGTAATCTCCTCACTTAACCATCTACTTTCAACTCTTCCCAAGTCTAAAGCCTCTTTGCATAGAAGCAGCTTTGACTCCCTAAACATCTGATTCGGATTAAAGAGTTATGTGTAAAAGTCACTCTGAAGTCAATCCATGCTAGAAATACACATTGGGCAGCAACCGATTGGATTTAACTGTGAATGAATTATAGCACGTGACTTTACTTCATTTCACAGGTGACTTAAGACCCCAAATCACCAATTGGACTTTTGAAACAATGTGTATATTGATGTATCTCAAATCAGTGCTAGTTTTAATAAAACCCAGCTCAGAATAATCGTACACTGAACTGCAAATAAATCCTTCCACTCTGACCTTCATATTCCTCTGCACCATTTGTTACATTTAATCCCACACCATCTGTCACTGCAGTGTATTGAAGTTATTATTTGAGTATAGAGTTGTACGCAGTGTCTGAATTGCATAGATCCACATATATATTCTTGGTGTCTACAGACTATGTATATACACACAGTATACAATATATGCTTGTCCTGTTTTTTTCCCCTTCTATTCTCTGTTATTCCCTAGTCTGTCCCTGTCACTTTCAGATTTTCTGCTTATTCTACCTGTTTTTCACCTCTCTTTTTCAAAAGACTGCCTCTTTTTCATTGTTTCTTCCAGTTCCCAGTGTCTGTTTTGAAGACAACTATTTTTAAAAAAAAGATGTATTTTGAATGGCTGAAACCATCTCAGAGATTGATGTTTGGTAATAAATGTATCATATTCATAAAACAGTCTCAATCTCTAATGCATCTCTTGATTTTGAACAGCTGAGTGGGAGTCTTGAACAAGTAAATTCACTGAACAATGGAGCCAGAGTGAGTGAACTCAGCAGTGGCGCTTTAAGGGTTAATTTAGATAAATGTGAATTTCACTATGTTTCAAAAATGAACAACGTTTTGTAATGGCATGAGATTCCTTCACAACCTAGAACTCCGAGGGATTACTCAAACAGTTTGGTGTTTGGGGGTGAAGCATGTCAGCATGAAAATTGCATAGAATTACATAGAATATTACACCACGGAAATGGGCTATTGGCCCAATTTGTCCGGGTTGATGTTTATAGTCCCCACGCGCCTCTACAACTGCTAATCCCCTCTCCTATAACCCTCGTGTATGCATCAAGTTTACTCTTATAAACTTCTCTGAAGTACCCTTGTACCATTTAATGTAAATGTGTACTGAGAGATTGTTGAGTGGTTTTATGAGAACCAAATGGAACTTGTTTGAGCCTCTCTCCGTATCAGGTGTTTTCTGAGGACTGGGATTGATCAGGAGTGTGGAGAAGTGTAATAATAATAAATCTTGTATTTGATATAGCTCCTAATCACATCATTGAGACATTTCAATGTGCTGCACAGGGTCTACTGTAAAGTGGATTGACTGTGTATTGTGTGTACAATGTGTACAGTGGTAAAGGAACACGGACCAACCTTTCCTATTCATTCCCATCTGGAGGCACTTAACCAGCCGGCAATACTGGCACCGGTTGCGTTGCTTCCGTGACATGGTGCATTTTTTGTCCCGAATGCATTTGTAAACCCGTTTATTAAATATGCTCCGTTTGAAGAAGCCTTTGCACCCTTCACAGGAGGTAATTCCATAATGCAAGCCTGTCGCTCGGTCCCCACAGATTAGACAGACTCTTCTGTCTGAACGGTCATCTGAAAAATAAAATAAATAAGTGAAAACATTTTTCAATGGATATGCAATAGTTTTGAATCCAGAAACTTTTCTGTAGGTAGGGGAGAGGGGAACAAGGAGGTAGAGGTGAGAGGGAGGAAATGCAACAGAATGTTCTTATTGCAACTTTGTATCCGGCAGTGACTGACATTTTTGTGACGCTTTTAGCAATGAATTAATAATAATAGTATTTTGATGCAGTGACTTATTGAAACAACTTAAAGCATTTTGCAGTATTTCGAGTAGCAGTGACTGTGTGTTTTGTGGATATACACATAGACCAGCTATTTAGCACAACGAGTACTGGAAATTTCGCCCCAATATTTCTGTCTGTCGTGTTAAAGATGTACATAAATACCTTCTCAATGACCCATTGTTCAACATACCTTGGTGTCTGAAACATTCCTTGTGGCTCCTTTGCTAACTAAGAAATCATATAAAAACATATCTCGCACTAGAACAAATACTTTAGAGCTTCTAACCAGCCTCTGGAGTATGTCACATTTAAACGTCTAATCTCATTGCTGAGAGGAGCAGTAATATACAATCTAAGTACCAAATACAAACATAAAATAGGCCAATGGGTGAATGGGGAGAGGCTCTGGGAGTTACAGATGAGGTTGTTAACTTGAAACCCTCCAGTAAACTATTGGGGAACTTCAATGTAGATTAACTGACAGCGGGCTAGCTGGATCAGCTGAATGTTCTTTTCTTTGTTTCATCTTCTGTTGAGCTTATCATTGGGGGTCACCAATAACAACAGCTGATGCAGGTTATTGGGAAACAGTGGAAGGAGCTGAGACACTTGGACTCATTTTTAAAAAAAGTTGTGAGTTTTAAGGCCAGAAAAAAGTTGAAAGTTATCACCCGCAAGAAATCTTCACTGCCCTAAGGATTTGATGATCTGATAACCCAGTCTAGTTCCACATGTTGTTAAATGTGCGTATGATGGCAGTAGTGATAGGAAGCATGATGCATGTAGTTGGAACTGAGTAACAAATATTAGAATTTGGAAGCTGGAAGCAACACATATAGCAGTTTATGGGCAACAGGTGTTAATTCTAGNTTTTTTTCTACAATTAAAAAGGTAATGTACAAAGAGAAAATAAAACTATCGACACAGTGTTTTGAAACAACAAGATTTCTCCTGGAAAGCTATTGTGTACTGTTGATCACAGTGCTTCACAGGATATATCTAAACTGTGTATTTTGTGGGAGACGGCGGCAACCAATTAAGCATAACAGCCATGGAGTGAGTGACCAATTTTCTTTGGGGGACTTGTTGGCCAGGACACTGGGAGAAATTCCCTTCTCTTTTCGAACAAAGCCATCTCTATTAAGGAGGGAAAAAAACTGGTGAGGATAAAGGATTAAAATAACAGGCTGACTAAGAAACTCACATTAAAATGTAAGGGCACATTAATGTGGCAGCTAACATTCAATACTCCACCACAGGTTACTCTGGAAAGTGGATAAACATTCCTCCAAGCACAACCTCCATCTTTTTCAATAACAGCAATAGAAATATAGCATTAACCGGAGCTGCAGAGAGATGTAGAGTTTTTTCGATTTGGCAATTTGTTTTTTTTCACAGGGAACAGCAGATTTGAAAACGTTTTTGTTCAGTCATAAATTACACAATTACCACCTACAGTTTCCAAATAAACCACATCCTATTCCCCAGCTGATATTGATGCATTTGCCAATAGATAACTTGGCCCATCCCATTAACCTTTGACCGTAAAGTTTTCACACATATCAGAAATATTTGATGTTGTTAATTTTTTTTTGGTCCATCTGGTGTCTGGCATATGTGGAAACCCACCATCATACTCAAGAATATCCAAACCATACAGAGTTTTACATACATATGATACCTACACATGGAAATTTCTCTTTCTCTTCGCAGCGGTGTACTCTATCAACCTAATTCATGGAAGTATCAGCGATAGATTGTGAAGAGTCAAGACCTGGGAAACCCAGAGCGTTCATTGGGTTACTACTGGAGATCAACCGACAAATAATGCATAGCTTGCCTTTGCCAAAATGGTCTGATAAGCTTCCAGCTGCTAGTCCAGATAGAATTCTTTAAAGCCTCAGCTTGCAAGATTAACAGGAGCTGAGCAGGAAGACTGATCTACCCATTTATGTTCGCCATGTAAAATCATTCCATTGCAATGAAGACCCTGGGTTTATTAGGCCTCGACTTTGTAATATTATAAACTTCTACTATATCAGCAGGTTATGAAACTGTCAGTCTTGTACAGAACAACAGAACATTCTTTTTTAAAAAATCTAAAGCTCTTGGATATGTTTACTGCACTCTGTCAGCAGGTGGTGCTCTGTTTGCATTAAATTATTATTTCCCCTCAAGGAAGCTGCTGGCTGATTTTCATGATGATTTTAGTTTCATAATTGAACAAGGTTATTAAATATTCAGCGTTTTACTGATGCTCCTTTTCTGCAAACATTCACACAAAATGCTCTCTTGCACTGTTTGGATAGACCCTGAATGTGCAACATTTTGAGCATTTCTAAGAACATTTTAATAGTTAAGTGTCTTTTGAACCCATTTGTAATTGACAAATCATTTGCGAAACCTGTGCTAATCTGCAGAAGCCAAACCATCAAGTAAATTTGACAACATACATCCTGAATAAAGTTATTCACTAAATCATTTAGTGAATAACATGGGTTTGTTAATCCTGAAGTACAATTTGACTCATTTTTACACTTTGAAGACCTTTTGAGATCTGCATGGTTATAAAAAATAATGGCTTGGTTGGACTTAGTTACCCAACAGTCCAGGTCGAGAGTTTATACTCTATGCAAGTTTGGCATAACTCATACTTCGCATAAGTTATATTAAATATATGGTCCCAACTAATATAACTTATGTGGGGTTTACTGTATATACAATACAAAGTTACATTCATATAACACCTTTCAAATCTATGGAGAATAGCGGGATACAATAATATGGTAATGTCAGGAATTCCAATTGTGTATAGAAATGAACAGATCAGAGGTAACCATAAGTGTGAAAGCGCAATTGCTTAGAAAGAGTTAGCAACTGTTTCTCAACTCAGTGACTGAAACCAGGTTCCAAGACATTCATTAACTTGATGAATACAAATTTCACCCCACTCCAGAGCAAAACAACGTCTATAGAAAATTAACGAGTAATAAACACTGAATCCTACAAAAGTCAGTTGAAAATGAATACGTTTTGGAAGTCGGAAGGGTCAATTAGAAAGACAGTCTGTAAACAGCAAGATAGATTAAAATAAATGTTTTAATTATACAGGAAGGAGGCAGAGTGTTTAAAGTCCAAATAAGTCCTTTAAGGCATAATTTGAGTGGAATGATCACAATGAGGAGGAAATCAGGAAACGGTGAATGTTATTAAATTAGCTCCTTCACATCTGTCTCATGAGTGAAGATTGGGCAAATGTTACATCCATTTTAATTGTCTCAGGAATCCGCTACAAGTATAAAGGTCAATAAACCATGTCAGGAAACTCAGTAAATATCTGCTGACTGGATTTCAGTGTGAGGGCCAAGGTTTGCAACGATAGATGTTGCAATTGCCTACAAATACATAATTGCTTCACTTCACAGTATATTCTTAGAGATGTTCTCCCGATGTGAAAGGAGCAACACCAAATGCAAGGATTTTTTTTTTTACGTTTACATTCAGCCAATATGGTAGGAAAATGAGCTTGAATCTGTTGAGTCAGTAAGCACAACATTTAACCAACTGAGGACCCTTTCCCCGCAGAGTAGCTGGCAACAGCAATACAAATTGTGAGTTTCCACTACAGTGGGTTCACAGTAAGTAATCATGAAGCTGAATAATTAGAAATCCAATTCACATTATAGAGCTACCCTGTCAATGATGTACGATTATAGTGAAATTTGCAAAGGAAATCCAAAGGGATAGATTCCAAGCGGGACCAAACTAGGCCAGGTCTGGTTTTATCACAGCTCAGAGACAGAACAATATGTAAGCACTGTAGAAATAAGTCTTGTGTCATTTTAGAAATGTGTTAGCATGGAATTGTGCAAACAGTCAAGGATTAACACAAATGAACATGTGTGACAACATGTGTCAAATCATTAAAGACATCATCAAAGTTACGGCAGCACATTCTATTTTAACTTATAAACCAATGCAGGGAAATCTTACTACTATTCAGTTCTGAGTTTTATTTGCAAATGTGTGTCCTTTATTTCAGAAATAAGATTCGATTCCCCCACCCCCCATCCTCAGTTACAAAGCAAGCTCTGTATTAGTGCTCAATGGAAATATTATTGTGCGTTTCTCATTGTGAGCAAACAGTTTAGTACTGTAATGTCTTTCAACGACAATCCAGTCAGTTCCTTACCAACAAAAAATCCTTTCAACATCTCCATATCCAAGACTAGCAGAGCAGTGCTGGGTACAAACTAGTATGATAATTCCAGTGGATAAAACAGTAAAATTCTAAGGACTGCACAGTGCAATGAATAGCTATGAATTAAAAAAAAACTTTTTTATTATAACTGAGAATTAAACAGAAATGTGTAAGAGGCACTTTGTGGGGGCCCCAAAAGCCACTTAATAGCTTAAGCATTCCGTAGAAAAGTTTCAGTAAATAATTTGGTCTGATCAAAGGAAGCAAAGCAAAGTTGTGCATAAGAATCAACGCAAACTGCAGATGATCAAACACTGTTCAATACATTCTGCTATTCTCAACAGGTCTCCAGACTGTTGCCAGATGTCTGCATCTTAATTGCAACCTTTACATACATAATAGATTTAAGTATATGATATATCAAATTAGAACAGATCAATAGGCTAGTAACGGAAATATATAAGCGCTAAAATAAAAATAAACCATTATAGGAAAATTAGAGTGGGGGGGGAATGCCGAACAATGAGAATGATAAATGTCTATTTTTAAACCATCCACTCGCACATTATGTGGTGCAATAACAG